CTCTGACGACGATCTATCAAGACATTCAGCTACACCAGCTCAGTGTTGACAAGGAAGTGACTGAAGAGAACAGATATGGGCAGGGATCAGACAGACTGGCTTGGTTTTGGAGAGTCAACAACGGTCATGATTTGAAGGAAGATGTGTGGATGGATGAATGTAAGTCATATCTAATATGTCTATGTTCTGCAAGTGACCTGTATTAGTCTACAGGGTAAATTGGTTGAAAGCTAAGGCTAGATGGCAAAGGTGGGAGGAAGAGTTGAGATTGGTCCAACACGAAATGGGTTGGACAGTGAGTTGGTTTAAATACAGGATGGGAGAATGGGACCAAAGATACCAACAAGCTACAAAGCCCGGTCATCAAGCTTATGCACATCGACAGGTGCTCTTGTGGGGAAGATTTGCATTGGATGCTGAAAATTCATTCAAAGACAAGTTGATTGTAGTCACTTAACAGTCTTGGCTATTATAATATCAAAGACTTATCTAGCCAAAAAATGATTGTTATGATGGTCAGGAACCCTGCCTACATCATACTGTAGAGCTGGCCCATTTATACTTGCAGATATTGCAATTTGAATGAACTAGCTCTAAAGGGATAGTACTAAAACCAACATCTTTCTTGATAATACTAGGTTTGTGTCTATCAAAAATCCCATCAATTAGATATGCAGAAGTCTATGTTCAATATATACCTAAGGTATTAGCCTGCCTTCCTGTATAAAGCCTGGACATGATCCGGCCGACTCTATTATCACTGTCTGAGGTGTCGGCCGGCCTGGCCATACACGACCTGGTCATGATCCGGCCGACTCTATTGTCAATGTCTAAGGGGTCGGCCGGCCTTCCTGTACACAGCCTGGACCTGATCTGGCCGACTCTATTATCACTGTCTGAGGTGTCGGCCGGCCGGGCCATACATGACCTAGTTCTGATCCGGCCGACTCTCTTGTCCACGTCTGAGGTGTCGGCCTGCCTTCCTGTACACAGCTTGGACCTGATACAGCCGACTCTATTATCACTGTCTGAGGTGTCGGCTGGCCAGGCCATACATAACCTAGTTCTGATCCGGCCGACTCTATTGTCCACGTCTGAGGTGTCGGCCTGCCTTCCTGTACACAGCCTGGACCTGATCCGGCCGACTCTATTATCACTGCCTGAGGTGTCGGCCGGCCAGGCCATACACAGCCTGGACTTGATCCGGCCGACTCTATTATCAATATCTAAGGTGTCGGCCGGCCAGGCCATACACAGCCTGGACCTGATCCGGCCGACTCTATTATCAATGCCATCAGGAAACCTACACTTTCCTTATCATTCCTGAATTGTTTTAGATACTTGTGTTTGACCATGATGCTCCAGACCACATAGGACATGAAAAACTTAAATATATTTGTATACTTAGCCTTTCTACTGATACTGACAAACTGGTATAAGTCAAATATCTTGCTGGACTTGAGTGTGTTAGTGCAAGTCTTGGAAAGACTTGGCCAAGTACCATAAGGTTCTTCAACAATGTTAAGTTTTTCTGATGCCTTAAGTTGTTGAACTGCCTGCCTCTACATGACTTGGACTTAGTCAGGCCAACTCTATTTTCCATGTCCTAAGGTGTTGGCTGATACTGATGTGTGTGTATAGGGAGCCTCACTTGAATGGTCGGCCAGTACCAGTCCCACACCTCTGGCCAGCACCAATATACATGTGTAGGCAGTGGTCGGCCGGTACCACTCCCACACCTCTGGCCAGCACCAATGTACATCTATGGGCTGTGGTCAGCTAGTACTACTCCCACACCTGTGGTTAGCACCAATGTACATGTATATGCAGTGGTCGGCCAGTACCACATTCACACCTCTGGCCAGCACCAATATACATGTGTAGGCAGTGGTCGGCCAGTACCACTCCCACACCTCTGGCCAGCACCAATATACATGTGTAGGCAGTGGTCGGCCAGTACTACTCCCACACCTCTGGCCAGCACCAATATACATGTGTAGGCAGTGGTCGGCCAGTACCACTCCCACACCTGTGGTCAGCACCAATGTACATGTATATGTAGTGGTCGGCCAGTACCACCCCTACACCTGTGGTCAGCCTTCACGTATAGGCAGCCCCACTTCAGTGGTTGGCCAGTACCACCTTAACACCCTTGGCCGGCACCAATGTGCATGTATAGGCCGGTGCAGGCTGGTACCCATTCTAGGGCCATTTGGCACATCCGGGGCACCACTTCTACATAGGGCTATGACTGAAGTATGTGTTAGATACTCATATTCACTCATTCTGTCTTATTCCATAGAGTTCTTTCCCTACAGTATATAAACCGACGTATATCTACTGTTAGGGTAGTTGATTTTCATCCCCCCTTTTGAATAACATTTAGTTAGGACAGTTATCCTGTTCGAACCTTAAGACGATTCAAACCAATCGACTCTTTCTCGTGTGAACGTTCAACGAACGCCACATATTTTTAACTGCCTTTAAATCTAAAATCTATTCCGCTATAGTCGTTGTCTAAGAGGCTTGATCACCCTCCAAAAACTTCGACTCTTGTTAACACAAAAACTCTCCCCCACCCCAACGATATCGTCAAAAGAAAAAGTAATGTCGACTAGTGCACTAGAAATTGCCTCCCCACGTTCCTCGAGGAACGTGAGCGTTGATGGCCGTGCCCACGAGCAAGACGGCGCGAGGTCTCGAAACAGTAACCCTGTTTCTGGAGACGATGGGAATGACAGCCCAATGGCTGAGCTTCCCTCCAGGTTCGGTCCACGCGATCTGAACGAGGTGGACACGGAGTCCACCCAGGCGAAGGACGCTGCGAGCAGCCCCGCCCAGAGCAGTGCCCCGTTGCTGGTCAACGCAGGAGCCGCCACCACCCGTATCACACATAATGATGAGGGTCCTGTAGCACCAGTCAGCGAGTTACCTACTGGTGGCCCTATAATTGGGCGATTACGCACCTTCACGTCGCCCGATAGTGATAATGTACCGCGTCTGCAAGCAGTCTTCGATTGGTCAGAGGTAACCGATGACGACGAGCTAGGAAATGTACCTGAGTTCCCCGCACTTAAGCCCAGTCCAACGGCTAGTGAAAGTAAACCCGAAATCAGTAAGGATAGCTTTGAGAAAAGTAAAGAAAACAACCAACCTAAACTCAGGTCGCTCACGGACCACCTGCGCGACTGGACAGATTTTGATGAGGAGATGGCAGAGTTGAATCGGCCCGGGGAGAACGAGTCCGATGAATCTCTCCGTCGTCTGTGGGACGACGAAAACCGGGCAGGATCAATTAGGATCCAAAACTTCGCCCTGAAAGGATTCCGAAAATCTGCCAAGGAAGATTACACGCAAAAGTGTGAAGAAGTCGACGACTTACTTGACCGTGTCAAGGAGCTCGAGAGGTTGGTCATCGAGGCACAGACCAGGGAGGAGATGGCGCAGAAGCTGATCCGAGAGGCACAACACGTGCCTCTTCCAGATCCACCCCCAGACAGCGCACCTCCAGCGCCAGCCCCCCCATTAGAGAACGCTGCGAACGTGAATGAGCGACGTCACGCAACGGTGATAAACGATGACCCACCAAGCATAAGAGAGCCTACTGATAGACCTGTCAAAGAGAACACCAGGTTCTGGAGGGCGTCTTCCCTCCTCCCAGACAAAAGCTCGGTCAAACGAGCTATAGTTGGTGGTGACCCTAGCGACCCAGACTCGTCAGATTCGCCATCGGGACCTGGTCCCGACGACGACCGGTCATCCACTGAATCCTCTGACGAAGAAACAAGGCACATCAGTAAGGACAAGAAGAGATTGAAGACACTTACGCGTAATAATCAGTTACGCAAAGACAGAGGGAAATCGAGGACATCAACCACGTTCATGACCGGTGCAGCCTCAGAGGAGGAATCCTCCGACAACCTCAACGCGAAGCTACTGCAGATGGAGCCAGAGTCGGACCACAGCAGTGACTCTGAAGATACCAAGTGCCTCAAACGAAAAGCCCGTCGTAAGCATAGGTCAAATTTGAACCTACTAAAATATCAGCAAGGCTTCTTGAAGCACGAACCACCATTCACTTACAACGGAGAAGCTAACGCGTCCACTTTTAAGAAATGGGTTCGCGAAGTACGAGACTGGCGAGACAGAGCGAGACTCTCCACTAAACAAACTATAAGCATGATAGGAAAGTACCTGGGAGGCAACGCCTATCGATTCTATGAGCGCGATGTCCTTGATCTTAAAAAGAAATATACGCTTACCGATTTCTTCGAACAATTGTTCGATTATTCCTTCCCAACGGACTTCAGGATGATGCAGCGTCAGAAGTTCCTAGAATGTCGTCAGGACGGGAAACAAGGAGTGCAGGACTACATACGACGCCTCCGAAACATCGCCGATACAACAGGTGACGTTGACGAGAGGGAACTCGTACGCCAGTTCTGGATGAACTGTAAGCCGTATATCAAGGCTTCGTTAGTAGATAAGGGTTACGACCCTAACACCGTTAGTATGGACACGATCGAGAGGAAAGCCTTATGCACCGAACGAGCGTTCCTTGAAAACTTAAAAGACCCCAACGTCCTCATTGCCCTAAACCCCACATTGGCCGCTGGAGCCGCTGACCACGAGTCCCGGACTCAACGTCGTGATCGCCGCAGTAGTCGAAGAGACCATCGTCCCCGGACACAATCTCTTGCTGCAAACGCTGTCAACCACAATAGTTCATCATCAGCTAGGACTCACCAAGGTAATAAGAGTTCTAGACGTCCAGGGAACAAATCAATTGGCCGTGAGCACCTTCCTCGCAATGCTAAGAGCTCTGAGACCATCTGTAAACTAAGGGAACTTAATCAGTGCTTCGAATGCGAACAAACTGGTCACCTCGCCAAAGACTGTCCCAAGCGTCACCGTCTACCTCCTTACCAGCAACCAAAGACTAACTCCCTTCGCTCGAACGCTGTAGGAGTGACCTCCGCGGATATCCGAACTGCGGCCATCGCAGAAGGAACTGCCCAGGGACTCTACGGCTTTGCCGTCAACATGATCGAAGATCTAAGCCAACTTGAGAAGTTAGAACATGCTAAACATCTGGTAGTAACTCACCGTGCATTGGCTAAGCTCAGACTGGCCGTCCCGCTACTCTCGGATGAACTCGTTGACCCAATCTGCAGTCCCTTCAGACAAGACCGGTTTAGTCTAACGACCTGGGGAGACAAGGAGACTTACCTTTTAAGCGATAAGCACAACCAAGATGAGTATATTATCTATTACTCACAATTGAGCAACCCGTCGTTTGACATCGTAGAATGGCTAACCATTTTAAAGCTCTACAATCAAGAGCACCTTGTTAGGACCAGGGAGTCCCTCGAACGGTCCGGGATCAGAAGCACTGTGGACAGTCTTGAGTGTGACACTACTGACTGCAGTGACTCAGAAAGCTCCTCCTGGGTGACC